AGGTGGATCTCTGTGAGTTCAAGGCCAGCCTGGTCTACATAGTGAGTTCCAGGACAGCTGGGGCTACAGGGAGACTCTGTCTCAAAAAGACCAAAAATTAATAATAATAATAATAAAATACAGGGCAATTTTATTCCTATATGTAACATGTAAACAGTACATGCAGAATTATATATTAAGAGGGTGTTGGATCCCCCAGGACTGGAGTTACAGATGGTTGTTAGCCACCACATCAGTGCTGGGATTTGAACCCAGGTCTTCTGCAAGAGCATCAAGAACTCTTAACTACTGAGCCATCTCTCCACCCCATATATTAGAAATCTTGAAATAGAAAAAGACTATAAACAATATCTAATATTTAATATATATTAGCAAGGATAAAGTTATTAAGTCAGCATAAATTAAATATAAAGAAGTTCATTGAATAAAATTTTCTTGCAGCTTACACTCATATTGCCTAAGATACTCTGGTATCTACTCTTTTAGATTTAAGAATACTATTATGATTGTATGTCAAACTAGTTGATACTTTGTTTTAAAACAAATATGCTTTCTGACCATCTATTTTCTTATGGAGCTACAAATGTAAATGTCACTTTTCTGGCCCTAAAGAAACTTCAAATTGACCAGTAAGGACAAATATGAATTCAGCGGCTCCACTTGAGAAAAGATATCTTGAGAGATGTAAAGTGTGAGTGGAGTTTGAGGGATGAGAATAACAATATGTTCAGATGAGGGAGGGGCACGGATACGTGCCAACACTGATGCCTGAAGCCAGAAATAGTACAAGAAACAAGTGGTCCTTAAAGGAGGAGACCAGGTTGCTCTTTTAGGGAGAGAAGTTGATAGGGTGAAAATGATAGACCAGCAAAGGGATTATTTTAAAACTGGAGGATGTTAGAGTATTGCTATAGTGTCCCAAGAAGAGAATATGTACCTCCTTTTCCAGCAGAGCCAAACATGTTACAGAAAATGGCATAGTTCACCACTTCTTTTATCATCTGACCATTCTGCCCCGTTCAGAATTATTTTATCTTTCTGACTTTTTCTTTCTGTATCTTTTGGGGTCTTTTTCAGGTAAGGTAAAGTACTATAGATCCTCCTGCCTTATAGTCACAGTCCTTTTTTAAAATTTAATTTAATTTAATTAATTTATTTATTTATTTATTTATCTATTTATTTAGGTCTCACAGACATCTGCCTGCCTCTGCCTCCCAAGTGCTGGGACTAAAGGTGTATGTCACCATGCCCAGCATATTCAGAAAGTTTAACAGTTCAGGATAACTCTGTCAAGTTTTTTTTTCAACTATGTGTGAAGAGGAGACTTTGTAAGCCTACAACTTCAGAGTTCAGGGAAACTAGACAAAGCACTAAAGAGAAAATTTTATATCTATTTTTTGCCTATAAATTCAGAGGTTTTACTTTCAGTTTGCACATTTAAAATTAGTTTAAATAAACTCATTTTTATCTTTAAAAAATTCTATTTGCTTCACTTATCTATCTTTAAAAATATTTTTCAAATATTTATAAACACCATACTTTTAAAATTATGTTTTTTATTTATTTATTTTTATCTGTTTTTCAAATTCTGCTGTACTTTAGAACAGTATATTGTCTCTGGGTTTATATAACATTAATGAATTCTCTATCAGTTCTCAAATGTAATCAGATATTTTAGTGATACTTAGGAAAGCTTTTTATTTTATTTTTTTAGCTGATATTTTATGATTTTTATCAACAGCATTAATAATCTGTATAAATGAGTAAAGAAAACAGCATCCTTATAATTTTTCAGTGATATAAAGTTTCAACTTTTCTTGTTTTTAGTTCACAAATTTTATGCTCTAACTAATGATAATTCTCAAAATGTGATCCACGAATCAGTACTGTTGGCCTTACCAGGGAATTTAAGGAAGTGTAAATTCTCAAACCTTTCTCTAAAAATACTCAATCAAACACTGTCAGCTATGGGGGTTTTTAACAAGTCCCTGGGTAATTTGGAAACTCATCAAAGTTTGAGAACTACTGGTTTGTTGTGCAGAGCAAGCTTGAGCTGCATAGAGATTTGTCAGTAAATTTTTTAAAACTTTATTCTCTTTTCTGTACAGGTGTCATTGGTCAGTTTAACTGCAAATGCCTTAGGCTACTCAGAACTTGGTGCCATCAAATCCCTGAGAACACTCAGAGCTCTAAGGCCACTAAGAGCCTTGTCCCGGTTTGAAGGCATGAGGGTAAGATCAAATGTGTTAGAATCTGCTGGAATTGTAATCAAGAACAACCTGAAACCTTGTAGAAGTTTCTACACAGAGTCTGAGTCTTCTCCATTCACATTCAGATAACCAACCAATCAAAAATATTTATTTGACGTTCATAATATATAACACGATTAGACACATTCACAGAATGATACCTTGTGTTCCTAATTCACTGCATTTTCACTAGCCAAATATCCATCGTGTTTCAGGGGTTGCTAATATGAATCAAGACTTACTCTCCTCCTGCTGTTTATAAAGGTTCAGGCAATCTTAGCTGATGTAATTTAAAACTTCCCAGCCATGACTCATCATTTCTTCACCACTCTTTATAATGTTCTTTGAGCCTTTTGAAGTGTGAATCTGGCCTTTTAGTTTTCAAACATAGACTGGGGTGTCTAAAAAGTAGGTCAGTTGTGGAAATCTAATACTCCCTTAGAAAGGTGATACACAGGAACAAGAAGTTATGCCGACTTTTGTCATCCCCTGGTGCAAAAGCTTAAAACTACATATCCATACCACCTAGAAAATGACTGCTCTGTCTCCATGGTATCCGTGTTTTAAAAAGCTAATAGATGGGAATGCACTCAGCCAGAACTACAATAATCAGTTTCAGGCCAACCTGAGCTACAGAGTGACACCCTATCTCAAAACAAAACAAAACAAACAAACCAAAAAGCAAAAACAGGAAAGAAAATAGTTCCTTAAACTTCATCAGGTTATAAACACAAGCCTAGATGAATGCTGTTTGTCTGCATTTGAGTGCGTGTTTCTATGTATGATTGCATAGAAAAGAATGGCTCACTGTTGAACTTTTTTCTCTTTATCAATTTAAGATCACTGTTTTTACAGTAGTAAGTTTAATAAACAAAGTGTATCAAACTTTCAGTACTAGAATACTTTTCACATTTTACGTTCATCGCCCATACATCCACCCCCTTGGCTAGCTTTAGGGATCAGATCCCATACTATGTGCATAACAGACAAGTGCTCTGCCAATGAACTGCATCATGTCGACAAGTGCTCTGCCACTGCATCCTTAGTCCCGGGGGTTCTCTTCGCCTCTCAATTTGGGTAGTAAATTGTGGTGATCTTACTTATAAATTCATGTCATTATATGTGGCCTTACTTATTTGTGAATTTAATGAACTCCATTCCTTGATGAAAATCTGTTACGTTTACGTGCTTACCTCCAAGGAAAATATTCCACAATGTAAAATTCATTTTATATTCTGAGTTATAATTTTAAAATTCTTAGTTTGAGCTATTGGATATTTCTACCCAATAGTCAACTTTGATGATAGATATATTTTTTTTCTGTACGTGACCATTATTTTCTGATAGTGCTTAAAAGTAAGTGAAAATGAATACTTGGGTTTTCCCTTATTTTTCCCTTCTCCTGTGTTAGGTTGTTGTAAATGCTCTTCTAGGAGCCATTCCCTCCATAATGAATGTACTTCTGGTCTGCCTGATCTTTTGGCTCATATTCAGTATCATGGGAGTGAATCTCTTTGCTGGCAAGTTCTACCATTGTATCAACTATACTACTGGAGAGATGTTTGATGTGAGTGTGGTCAACAACTACAGTGAGTGCAAGGCTCTTATAGAGAGCAATCAGACGGCCAGGTGGAAAAATGTGAAAGTAAACTTTGACAATGTGGGACTTGGATATCTTTCTCTGCTTCAAGTAGTAAGTATCCTCTTTCTTCCTTGTGATGTATAATTAAAATGAGTCTAAGGTTATTCTTCACAATGAGATATCACTTCAGAGCTGCTAGAATGACTGTCATCAAAGAGAGGAAGGTTACAAGAGTTAGCAAGAACCCTTGACATGCTGTTAGTAGGAATGTAAGTCAGTAAGCCAGAAGAAAACAACTAAGGAGATGCCTCAAAACAGGATAAAAGAGTTACCATGTGATCCAGTGAGTCTGGTACTGAGTGTATGTCTAAAGGAAATGTGGACTCCATATATGAAAATGACATGTGCACGCCCATCTTTTCACATACCGTTTTCACACACATGGAAATTTATTGATTTCAACTGCAGCATCATTCTTGACTATTAACTATGAAATCAATCTAAGTGTCTATCAGTGGATGAATTTATAAAGAAAATGTGGCATGGATATGGAATGATACTCATCCTTAAAACAAAACCAGGTCAACGAGATGACTCGAGAGTAAAAGCACTTGCTGCACAAGACTAACAACCTGAGTTCAATCTCCAGAACCTATGTAAGAAGCTGGATGTGGAGAAACACATTTGTAATCCCAGCATTCCTCTGGCAAGATGGGAGGCATTGACAAGATGATCACCCAGAAGCCCATGGGTTAGCTAGCCTAGAGTAGGCACCACAGAGGAAACACGATCAACTCTGCCTCACCAATGTGGAAGGAAAGAAGCAACTTCTGAAAGTTGTTCTCTGACCTTAACATACACGCTGAGACACATGCTTACTCAAACACATCATACGCACACATCACACATATACACATACACAATAAAAGGAAGGGAGGGAGGGAGGGAGGGAGGAAGAGAAGAAGGAAGGAAGGAATCTTGTCACTTACAAGACAGATGAATCTGGTGGGCATTGAGCACTAATAAACCAGATAGAGAGAGACACAATCTACATGTTCTTACTCATTTTGAATCTAAAAAGAACTGAACTCATAGAAGCAGAGTGTAGAATGGCAGCTGCCAGGAGCTGCAGGTAGGAGAGATGTTGCAAACAGACACATAGCAGTTAACAGGACAATTAACTTCAGAGCTGAAGTGTATAGCAGGGCAACTGTAACTAAAAAACAATGTATTGTTTTGTTGTTGTTGTTTGTTTCTTTGTTTGTTTTGGGGTTTTGGGGGGCTTTTTGAGACAAGGTCTCCCTGTAGCCCCAGCTGTCCCAGAACTCACTATGTAGACCAGGCTGGCCTTGAACTCACAGAGATCTGCCTGCCTCTGCCTCCCAGTGCTGGGATTAAAGATGTGCGCCACCACGCCTGGCTCTAACAACAATGTATTGTATACCTGAAAACCACTAAATATATTTCAAGTGTTTTCAACACACACACAAAGTGAGGTAATGCATATGTCAATTACCCATTCTACAACATATACATATTTCAAAACACATTCTACAACATGAATATATTTTCAAATGTCAATTCAAAAACATAAAATTGAAACAAAACAGAAATATATAGACCTTTTAGGAACACTACACACCTGCAATGAACTATATAAAAAGATAAAGTAAAATACTTCTTTCTGAGTTTCATCTGGTGTTCTTCCTCTTGGATTGCTTCTTCTGCCATTGCTGCCATTCTGCACTAAATTGACTCAACACAATTTATAGTCTCCCAGACTATACATTAGGCAGCCCAGCACAAGTTCTTTGTTTCTGGCATTTCTACTTAAGCTCTTAGTGTTTTCTGCATCCCTAGTTGGAGCAAAGAAGAGGTGTTGGTTGTCGCAGGAGAGTACGAGTGTGGAAGGGAAGAGAAATATGCTTATGCTCCTTCTCAAGTGCCAAACAATGCTTCAACTCTTGCCAAGTCTTACCCACCAAGACTTCACCAGTTCCATAGCCAATGCCCCTGCCTCATACCCTCACCTCATTTCTCCCATGTTCCCTTCCTGCTTTTCAGACAGGAATATTCCTCTTATAAATAACAACCTTCCTATCACAGCAATTACAGCTACTATAAGGTCTTAAGAACTGATTTAGTTCACCTCATCGGACTACAGCATATTACATCCACCTGCGTCCTCAAGTAATCCAGGCTCACAGTCCCCAGCACTACATCCAGAGATCATCAAAGCCTGTGCACTAAGGAAGTGAACAAATATAGTACTTTTATTTTTAGGATTACTATGCTCATACAATAGAACACAAATATTTGTTTTTATGTATTTATTTTATTTTATGTGTATGAGTGTATTGCATGTATGTATGTAGGTGTACCCGAGTGATGCAAGGCCCATGGAGATCAGAAGAGGGCATCAGATCCCATGGAACTGGAGGTGCAGACAGTTGTTAGCCATCATGAGGGTGCTGGAAACTGAACCTGGGTCCTCCACAAGAGTGCTCTTAACCACTGATCCATCTCTCCAGATGTACATTGCAGTTGGATGTATTTTTTTCAATTAAGAAACTGATTCTTTATATAGAACAATTACCTCAAGATAGTCTGTTCAACTTTAAGAGATTTTCAAGAATAATTCTCATGATTGATGATGGCAATCACACCATTCAGAAAAGAATAAGTGGAAAAACAAGTAGTAAGATCTAATTTTTGCAGCATACTGTTGAAACTCTAGTGCTATATCTGAAATCCTTTCTTTTAATTTCATGTTATAGTCTTATAATCGTATCAGACCCAAAGGCTGCTGAAGTGGCTTTTATGATCATGTACTGCTAAAGTAGATCATGATTTAATTATAAATGTTAAATATGCAAATAAATCCATTATAAAACATAAAAATGAATAACGCATATATTATAAAACATTGTCCACACAATTTAAAGAAAAACATTTTTTCTCTTTTGGGTCTTTTTTAGACAGGGTCTCCCTGGAACTCACTATGTAGACCAGGCTGACCTTGAACTCACAGAGATCCGCATGTTTCTGCCTCCTGAGTGCTGGGATTAAGGGCATGCGCCACCACACCCTGCTAAGGAAAAATTATTTTATGTAAATGTATTTAGATAAATCTTGGTTAATTGCTCATGTTTTTTCTTTTATATTGACACATAAATATTGTTCATATTTAGGATGTACCATGTGATGTGTGTATCATGTAAACACTGTGATGTTCACTCAGACGTTCATGGAGGTGTAGCTGTCCCCACAAACATTTCTCACTTTTTTGGTGAAAACATTCAGAATACTTTCTGCTAGGTTTTTGTTGTTGTTGCTGTAATTTTACTCTGGTAATTTATTTTCTAAGATTTTTAAATAGAGGAAACATAAATATTTTTACTTTTTAACAGGCCACATTTAAGGGATGGATGGATATCATGTATGCAGCTGTTGACTCAAGAAATGTAAGTCCATTGGGGGTGGGGTTGTTTAATTTGATCAGATGAATATAAACAAAGTATCGAAAGTTGGTGATGGCAAAAAAATAGTAATAACTATGAATCAACTTACAGAGTACACTTATTCTACCAAAATAAAATTTTTATCTTTATTTTTTTTTTAAATTATCTTTGGATGGCTGAAGAGATGGCTCAGTGGTTACAGGAACTTCCTGTTCTTACAGAGAACCCAAGTTTGGGTCCTAGCACCCACATCAGGCAGCTCACAACCACTTTGGTACTTGCACATTGTGATACATACACTCAGGCACACACATATACATAAAAGAAAATAAATATAAATAAATTTTTTAAGAGATTTGTTGGTAGGGAGCCAGTCTTCAGTTGCAAATTTGAAATCCCTTAACCTATAACAAGTCTAATGGTAACCTTATTAAGAATAATTAGTCACAAGAAAATTGAAGTTGAACAGTGTTGGAGATACCTTCAAATTTTAATTAGAAAGTTTTTCTCCTCATTGTGAATTTTTCTCATGTGTCTTTTCTAGTAAGCATGGCCCGTGATACTTCGATTTATTGCTTATATTTGCTAAATGAGATGTTTATTTTGGGATCTGACAGTCCTGGCTGCTTGTGAGTAGAGATCCTCAGGACATCTCTGCACCTGCTACATTTCTTCCAGTAGGAGAAATGGAGTGACTGCAGTGAGGGGCACAGGAAACCAAATAAGCAAGCCCGAAACTTAACAGCGTTCCCTCTGGGAGGTGAAATTTTTTGATGGAAGCAGGGGTGTTCACAGTCTAGCTCACAAACACAGCTTTTTCTGCAATTTTTGGAAATTTCACATAGTCTATCAAAGGAAGAAGTCATATTTTGGAAAGAGATTGATTTCTGGTTTCTTAGAGCACTGTGATTACTCTCAAAATCGTATTCCCCTTGTATCAACAATTAGCTCTGTGAATGAAAAATTTCTGTTTTTCTAAGCTCATAAAAACATACAGAAGGAGACACAGAGAGCATCAGACGCAGAGAATTCTAAAAGTCATGTATTTTATCAGGAATCTTACCTATGAGCCTTTTCTGAGTAATAATAATAATAATTAATAATAATAATTTCTTATCACTGCTCAAGACACTAAGGCTATCTTACATTATCTCATTTAATTCTATATAGTAGTCTTATGTGCTTGGTACTACTGAAGCAGAAAGGCTTAACATGTTCAAAGGTAGAAATTTTTTGAACTCTAACCAATTCTGTATGCCTTTGGTTAATTTGTACAGTTATTTCTGCCTTTATCAACACCCCATAAGGTATAGAATTTGCTTTCAGTTTCTTCCTTACTAGTCTAGCAGAAATTGTCTGCTACACAACCCCTCACACTTCAGCATATTACGGAAGATGAAATCCAACTGGCCATTCAAGTTACAAGGAAACGTTTCTGGCTTTTACTTTCATTAGTCATCATAGAAACACACATTTAAACCAAAGTGAAACATTACCTACACACCTACCAAATTATCAGCATTAAAATGTCTGATAACTTCAAATGTCCCAAGAATAAAAACAGTAAGGACTCAAGCTTCACACTGGCTGAGACAAAAGAGGAGGGAAGGGGTAAATGGGATGAAAGGCTTCTTCTAAAAAGAATTTTTTTAATTAAAAACAAACAAAAAACATCAGAAAAAAAATAACAATTGGGGCTAGGACAGGAGAACTGGCTTAGCAGTTAAGAGCACTGGCTGCTCTTACTGAGGACCTGGGTTCAGTTCCCAGCACCCACATTGCAGCAAACAACCATCCATAACTCCAGTTCCAGGGGAATCCAACACCATCTTCTGACCTCCACAGGCATTGCATGACACAGGTGTACTTACATACATGCAGGCAATACACTAATATGCATAAAATAAAAGTAATAAATAAAATGCATTTTTAAAGCATAAAATAGCTGGGGCTAGTGAGATGCTCACCAGCAAGTAAAAGTACTTGCTGCCAAGCCTGATGGTCTGAGTTCAATTATCAGACCCACTTGGTGGAAGAAGAGAATGGTTTCCTGGCACACACACACACCCACACACACACACACACACATATATACACACACATACACACACATACACAATACACACACACCTATACACACATACACACACCCGTATATACACACACATACACACATACACAATACACACATACACAATACACACACATACACACATATACACACAAACACACATACACATACACACTAAATAAAATTATCTGCTTTCTGCAGCATATATGCTTTTATCTTTTTCTGTCTTTTTGAGACAGGGTCTCCCTCTAGCACCAGTTGACCTGGAACTTGTTATGTAGACCAGACTGGCCTTGAACTCACAGATATCTGCCTGCTTCCGCCTCCCAAGTGCTGGGATTAAAGGTGTGCACCACCACGCCCTGCTACAATATATTCTTTATAAATTTGTACACCTGTACAAATGTATAAGATAGTCTATGTACAAGAGTAAACATAAAATTTTTGAAATGACAAAAATTGGAACTCAAAAATGATAGCAGTGAACAAATCAAATAAATACACAGTGATGGGTGGATGAATGCAGTAGAGCAAACCAGACGCATATCACAATTTGTTTAAACAGTGATGTGAAATGAACAACTGTTCAACATATGCAATTAACGGTAGAGAAATGGAAGAGGTAACTACCGTAAGAATGAGGGTGGTGTCATTGCTGCCAGTGGTGGTGAAGTTAAGCTGGGGAAGGGTACACTAGGATTTCTGAGGTACTGACAAGGTCTTGGGTTGCATGTTTCATCTTTGTAGTACACTGTAAAGTTACATGTTAAAATTCCACTATAACGTTTTTATTTAATTTTGAAAGGTTTGAAATTTCACTTTACTTTGTTATGCACACATATAAATAATGGCAAGTGATCATCAAATAATAGCTAGTTTTACAATAGCTTCAATGTTTTCTACTTAATCATTTTCATTACAAATATCTTACTTATGATCCTCTAAACTGGCTTCATGATGCAATAAATCATAATCTCTACTCTTTATCATGAGTGATTGGTTAATTAAGTTGTTGAGTGTCCTGAGAGACTGGTACACTCAGCCAAAGATCCAACTATCAGTCACTTTCCTTAAAGTTCTTGACAAGACCTTTAAGTCATTGTAATACAAACAGTGTCCACTGAATAGAGTGGGTCAATGTCCATTTTCAGGAAGGAAGGATCCTACAAGGTACTTATATGTACACACAAAACACTGTTTCTAGCCTACCTAGGAATTGTGTATGCTGTATTAAACCTTACATACTCAGCAGTCACTAGTAGCCTAGCTCTTCCTTAGGCACTTTTATATATTAATATATTTAATGTTCACAGGTACCCTAAAAAGTATAGATTCCAGTATTTCCATTTCACACATGAGGGAACTAGGCAGAGAAAGTAAATATTAAACATTTTAAAGTAGAGTGATGAGGCACAGGCCTCTCCTATGGGGAAAGGGAATCCTTCCTTTCATGCTGCATTGGGATCTTGGCTTACTAAGGAAAAGAGCATTCACAATCCAGGAGTTTATTTGGTGCAACTGTTGTGATTATCTAGACTTTCGTATGAATGATTTCATTATATCAGGTCAGTGAATGGAACCATCCTGCAAGAGTCAATAAATATGTTAGGTTTGGAGGTCCCTAAATTCTGTTCAATATTTGTTTTCTGTTTATTGCAGTGATGATACTTAGAGATTTGAAAGTTCACTGATGTGCTTTTTGTGGAGCTGCTAAGTCTAATGACTGCCACTCTTCGTTTTTTGTAGGTAGAATTGCAGCCCAAATATGAAGACAACCTGTACATGTACCTTTACTTTGTCATCTTCATCATCTTTGGCTCATTCTTCACTCTCAATCTGTTCATTGGTGTCATCATAGATAACTTCAACCAACAGAAAAAGAAGATAAGTGTATTCAAACTTCTTCTTTGAAGCACAGTTGCCAAAGAAGAAAATTTAAAAAACTGAGAAATTATTTTGATACTTAGTGAGTCATAAGGTTTCAGGTCATTTATAATTGAGATAGAGTGCTTGGATGGCCCCAGGGTGTGGATCTGCCTGCCATGACTTAATTTATATCTTGACTGTGTAGATTTCCAGGAATGTGGTCAGAAGCATTAGGAAAGTCAGCCTTCTTGTGAGCTTTAAGGTGGATTTCACAGCTAGTAAAGATCATGGTTTTAACAACTGTTGCCTTCCTTTCTTTACTTTGGAGGTCAAGACATCTTTATGACAGAAGAACAGAAGAAATACTACAATGCAATGAAAAAGCTGGGTTCAAAGAAACCACAAAAGCCCATACCTCGGCCTGCTGTAAGAATGGAATATTTTATCAGTTCCAGAGCCAAAATTTCAGAAAGTAGTGTTTTTCTGAATTTGCAACCCTAAGTTAACATTCTGACTAGCTAGCCTTGATAGCCTGAATATTTGTATGTTATATGCACATCATGTGTCAAAATTTTTTAATACATAATATATTTTATATAAGTATATAAAGTAGATGCAATTATTTTTTGGTCTTAAATACTTGTAGATCACAGAGAATTGGTGTCATTGAAGAGATATTTTAATGCAAAAAAGAAATTACAAATGTTTACATATGCCATGTGGACATAGTGGATGCTCTGTGACTGTGACTGCCCTACAGATTGATTGGCACATCTCAGGTAGACCACTGTTTGACCAGATCAACAAATTCAATGGAATCATTAATGAAACACATTTACAAAGTTTTTCTTCTGCTCTTCAGAGTAACCACATTTCATCTTCCCCCTACTCTCTTGCCCCGAAATGGACAATGCCATGTGTTTAAGACCTTTCTGCTTCTTCCAGTTCCACATTTGCCAATGACTGCTGGTTCTGTTTAAGAATTCTCAGGACAGTCCTTCAGTTCTCCTCTCAGTTCTGAAAGAATAACTCGGATAATAAGTCTCAGGACCCTTCCTATTTGGTGCATACACTTTAAGGCCAATTGGCATTTCCCAGGATTCTTGATTTCATGAATCCATTGCTGAAAGTATAGAGCTAGCCACAGTCAGAAAATCTGCCAATGATTCTAAGAAAGTGGAAAGCTATATTGGACAAAAGACAAAGATAATAAAATTTGTGCCCAGTCTTTGAGAAACAGCACAATTTACATAAATGGAAGCAGAAGTAGTAGTCCCTGGGTAATAAAATTATATTCTAAAGCTTCACAACAAGCATTGTAGGGGAGAAGAGCGATGTATTTGAATTACTGAGTAGTGGACTCAAGTTTGAGGAGGTTTGTCTTAATTAAACAATATAAATACAGTAGCTGTGAGGGCAGCAGAATGGACTGCAGAAAGGGAGATGTGAGAGTGCTTAACCCAGAAGATGCTAAAGAGCAGAACACAGGGCCACAAATAAGAGAATGAGGCTTCCTATACACAGGAAAGCAGGTCTGTCATCAGCGTCATGCCAACAGAACTGGAACTCCAGAGCTGTATGGCTCCATAAGGAAACTCAGTGGAATGAGGCAGCTCTAGAATTTAAGAAGAAAGTGATGGTGTGTAAAGAACAGAAGATCTAAAGTGCTCATGTTCTGTAAAATCATCAATTTTGATAATATAAATTGGAGTCTTATAAAAAAGCATATGGAATCTCAGATTTAGGTTTTGTGAGGTATCCAAATCCAGAATAAAGATTTTAGGATTGTCAGAATAGAAGTCATATGAACTTTGAAGTGCAGTTCCACTTTTGAACATTAATTAAAACAGAGAAATATCTTGAGCATGAAGACTTGGTCACCACAAATGATAGAGGCAAAAAGCAAGGGAGTAAGGCTGATTAGAATATATTTCAAATGCACATATATACATATGCATGTATCTATGCATATACATTCTTGAGAAACATTTTTTATTTATTTTATTTTATGTGTATGGGTGTTATGCCTGCATGTGTGTAAGTGCACCCACGCCGAGCAGTACCTGTGGAGAACAGAAGAGGGCATCAGAGTCCCTGGAACTAGAGTTGGGGATGGTAGTTAGCCATCATGTGGGTGCTTGGATTTGAACCGGGGTCTTCTGCAAGAACAGCCAGTGCTCTTAACTGCCGAGCCGTGTCTCCAACCACCAAGAAACATTTTTTTAAAAAGAGAGAGGCTGAGATTGGACAGCTATTTCATACCTCTGCCTCCCAAGGCTCAGGGATTATTAATTACAGAAAAGGGGGTGGAAAGATTGTAATAGCCAGAGATGATAGATGACCACAAGGAAACAGAGTTTTCCAGACAGCTGGTCAGTTACACATATGAACTCACAGCAATGGTGACAGCATGCACAAGTCCCGTGTAAGTTCATACAAGATAAAATCCCAGCATAGACATGGGGAAGTGGGTAAGAAACCCAAACTCAACCTAAGGAACTTTTAGCAACTGATGGCTGCTGGGACAGGGAGAGACAATCTCTTACAGGAATGGGACTCTTGGTAGGTTGATCAGGTTCCAGTGGATAAAGCCATGCTCAAGGACATGTAGAGACACAAATCAGGTACTATAGGCCACATTATATATAATGGAGTACATTGAATTGGGTGGGGAGCAGTGGGGGGAGGTGTGGATGGAGGAGAGGAGCTAAATACCATCAAATTATCCTGTATGAAAATCCCAAAAAATTTAAACATAGAAAAGAGGAGAGAGAGAGAGAGAGACTATTCATACTATTCATACCAAATGGCATATAAATTTGCCTAGGTAGAACAGGGTATTTAACAAAATTATTAGTGATAACTGTGCAAATCAGAGATTAACCTGATACAATCCATTCATCCATTCATTAACACTATGTATGATGTTCTAGGCTAGGCATTTGGAATTAAACATTGATCAGCGCTCAGTCAAATAATCATAACAAAATAAAAGTTTCCAAGAAGGAACAGAAGCTGTGGGTGCTGATAGGGGAGAGTAAATTGATTATCAGGGAAGACTTTATTGTAGTAATGTATTACTGGGCGTTGAAGAAGAATGAGGAAGTATCAATAGGCAACATAGGATGAGAAGAGCCTTGTACAGTCAAAGCCCTGATGTAGGAGGCCACATCGAGCACAGAGACTGGGCCTTCTTCCAGGTCATGTTGAGAATGCATGGGTTTGAATGGGCCAGTCTTTACATGAACTGTCTGCATCTTAAGAAAACTAGAAAGTGTTTAATGGGACCCAGTTTGTTTGGGTTTTATAATGATTCAACAAGTTTGACAGATACAGAGGTATTGCACTACAGATAAACTTTGGAGTTATTTCAGAAACCATAGGTAGCAGAACCAGAGGGGAAATGGATGGATTTGGGCACTGTGGCCAAAGTGAAATTAAAAAGGGTCCATTAATTGAGCATAGGAAATAAGGATAAGAACAGAAATGGTGAGTTGTTACTGTGCCATTTGGAGGCATAGAATGTTATATGGGACATGTGAGGTGGGTGCTAGTTTATAGAATTTAGCAACCAAAAGTAGGTGAAGGTGGGGTAACAAGACAGGGGTAAAACAAAGGTTTCATAAGACTGAGAGTTGAAGTTTGAGCACAGCAAAATATGTTCTGGAAAGGACAGTGTGGAACAGACAGAGAATAAATACAGAGTGAGTGGCACAGGATGTGAACCAAGGATGTAACCATTTAGGTTAGAATTAGAGAAGAAAAGGAACCAAGACTTCTAATGAATTATGAGTGACAAATGAAGAGTGTGGAAATCCAAACAATATGAAATAATGAAGTTCATTGATGAATCTCTTAACACTAACTGACTTTGATATTTAAAAAAAAATAGTAGATAAAAGAATGGAAAATTTCTGTGGATTTGGAATTATCCTGGGAAAAAAAAATAAAGACAGAGGGTTGCTGATTAGTGCTTGAGACCAAGATGAACTCGGAGAAAATGTTCTTTAGTAGGCAAGGCCCTCAGAGCTGTACAGCTCCCTCCAGCATTTCCCACACCTAAGATTTAAATTGGAAATGACAAGCAGTGACTCAGGATTGGCATTCACACTGAAGAATCCATCCAAACACAACATCCGCAAGAAATCTGAGGGGCTTTGTCTCAATCGTGCTGATAGGAAAATTAACATCAGTTTCTACTTCTAAGAGAGTCTGAACTTACTAAACCCCAGGGCCTATATCGGTGGGGGAAATGGCATTGATTGGCCTTAAAGAACTTCCAAAACATGGGGCTAGAGAGATGGCTCAGGGGTTAAGAACACTGGCTGTTCTTGCAGAAGACCCAGGTTTGAATCCCAGCACCCACGTAGCAGCTAACAACTGTCCGTAACTCTGGTTTCAAGGGGATCCCACGGTTTCTTCTGTCCTCTGCAGGCATTGCATGATACGGGTGCACTTACCTACATGCAGGTAGTACACACATACTCATAAAATAAAAATAGAAAATTTTATATATATAAAGAACTTCCAAAGCAACAAAGAGAGAGTAAACTAAAGCTATCTGCAATATAATGTCCTAACTTTTAGGATGGCTGAAAGAACAATGTTTTCTGAGAGCATGGCATACTTAGCATTTAAAGCTGTTATTCACCAGACACAGAAGGGATGGTGCCTACACTAAGAGAGAGGACAGACGAACAAGCTAAAATGAGAGGAGAGAATCTATGTAGTTTACTAAGAGTGGTAGAGATAAAGGGAGCATAAAGAAGAAGGGGAGTTGGAACTGGAATTAGAATTTAGTGGAAAGAGGTGATGGGAGGAAGGTACCACCTGAAGAAATGGAAGTCCTGTCTAGTCAACCAGCCAAATATATATTCAGAGAAAGAGACAAACAGAATAGAAGAGGTGCTGTTTGATGTCCCAAAAATTTTAAAGGAATTGATGAAACTTTGAAACAGGGAGAGGGCAAAACATTACAATGGAAAATGCAGGTCAGCAAAAGTGTGAAGTTCTGGGAAAGCAAGCTATTAAGGTATAGGAAGCAGGGCATCAGTCATTCTAGTTCAAAAGACAGAGAGACCCCAAAACAGTCAAATCAAGGCCTGAGCTCTAGAGGGTCAGAAATAGTAGATACAAGCAAAATGGAACATGACCGTCTCTTGATGAGAACTAGCTTCCAAGTGCGAACCTACTTTCATAAGCAAGATATAAAGCCAATAAGATTCAGATCAATTAGGACAAAGGTGGACTCTGTAAATTCTGAAACAAACCTCTGAAAATAATTTTATTCTTGGGGCTGGAGAGGTGCCTCATCAGTTAAGAGCATGTACAACTCCTACAAAAACTCAAGTTCAGTTCCCAGCACCCATATCAAGCAATTCACCTGACTGGCATCCATGGGCACCAGCACTCAAGTGTACATACACATAGAAACACACAGTTTAAGACAATAATAATAATTTTATTCTTACAAAAGTTACTCCATATAATCTATGTATGGATTTATCTGTATGAAGGAAAGACATGTTATGTAACTACAAATAAGTTATCAAAACTAAGAAAATTAATCTTAATATAGTATCACAAA